AAGGTTTAATCAACTCATTAAGTAGAAGACAACAAATGCTGGATCTCACTGGAATTATTTATATGGACAAGGTCCAACAAGCTTATTCTAGAAATATTTAACATGAAATTTAAGTCTTTCACATCCTTAGTAAAATATAAGTTACCAATATACAGACAAGGTCAGAAATCTACCCATCTTTATCTGTTTTTATTGTAAGTGGTAAAGACGTTTGTGTAGAGGTCGGGTCTGTTAGACTCAGTTTTCAAAGAATTAGGACAGAGATTGGCAGCTAGATGCTACTAATAAAATGCATTTATTACTGATTACCCAGTGTGAGCAAGAAAAAAATATTTAGAAAAGGTTTTTGTTGATTTGCAGTTTAGAGTAGAGAAAACAATTAAATGCGGAATATTAAAATTGGTTCTTATTTGCATCAACATTGACTATGCCTGACCCTATGCATTAGAACCATCTATTTTTTTTGTTGTGTTCTTGGGCAAGACACTTCCACCTGCAATGGCTACTAATGGTGTTCAGAAGAACTCTTGTCCTCGCTTTTTCAGTGAGCCCAGGGCAGCTGTGGCTTCCATGTAGTTTGCCATCATCAGTGTCTGGGTGAATGACTGATTATAGTGTGAAGCGCTTTGGTCAAGTCCTCTCACTTCAAAGAGAGAAATATAATTACTGGCCATTTAACATTTTTCAGTATGGCACCTTGCAGAAGCATTAGTCATAAGAATAAATAAACTGAAATGAACTGGGTAAAATGGAATTATATTAAACTGAATTTTGGAGAAATTGGATTGGATTGGTATCTTTATTTCGAACACGCAAGAGAAAAAAATAAAAAAATAAAAAATAAACGAGTGTTTAAAAACATTGGAGAGAAAAACAACAAGCTACCCTTCTTTCCTGAGTTAATTGACCTCTATTACATGTGCGAAAGGAGTAGGAAGGAGTAAAACTTATGTGCTCCTACCCCTTTAATTCATTTATTTCTTCAATTTACAATATTTATAATTATGTTGGTATATATATCCATATAAATACATACCTACCTACACATATACGTGCATAAATATATATACACATATACCCTCATACATGTATACAAATAAACAAAACACAAACAAAACTTTCTACAAATCTTCTCTATACCTTTTGAAAATAATTTCTTTGTACATTTTTTGAAAAAGGAATATGTTTGGGCATTTCTTTAGGTTCTCATTTAGTTTGTTCCACAATTTAACTCCGCAAATTGATAAACATAATCTTTTCCTTTCTGTTTTACATCTATTGGTCTTAAAATGTCCCCTTCCTCTTAAATCGTACCCTCCCTCCCTTTCAGAGAACATCTTTCGTATATTCCCAGGCAATAGGCTACAGTATGTCTTACTTTGAACATGAATACTGCAATTTGGTATTCTATTAAATCCTGGTATTTTTGCAATTTAGATTTTAGAAATAATCAGTTTGTATGATCCCGAAGTCCGGCGTTGTGAATGATTCTTATTGCTCTTTTTTTGCATTATGACTAGTGGCTGTAGTGAGTGTTGATAAGTGTTTCCCCAAACCTCTAGACAGTAATTCAAATAAGGTAACAGTAGTGAGCAGTATATGATGTGAAGTGATTTGAGATCCAGAATGTTCCATTTTACTTGACAAATATCTTTATCTATTGAGAACATTAACAGATATCTGAGGAGGAAACTCATTTAAACGCTTTTTCACATTCCTCACCTTCATCCCTGGCAGCCCATGCAGTCCCTGAGGTCCAGCAGGACAGGCGGCAGGACACTGCAAACACACAGAGACATGCTTCACTTTAACGGCAGTGGATCTCTCTGATGGAAGTTATCCTGCCACCACTGTAAATGTCATGCATCCAGGAAAAATAGGCTGTGTGTTAGACAGTAAAACACTCACAGATTCCCCACTTCCTTCAGTGTTGGCACCAGGCGGTCCCTAAAAGACAGCAGAGTGACACCTAAAGTAGCCCGAGTGGGAATGGATCTCATAAAGACACCACAGCTTGAAAACTCATGGTGAATGGGAGAAAAGGAAATGCTGCATGCAACATTATCAAAAACAAAAATCACCAAACACTTTTACTGGAACCGCATATTCACACCCTTAAAGTAGATAATCTCTATACATTTAGTGATGCAAAGTATGAAGTAAGAGCTCTGCCAAAAGTACGCATGATAATAAATACTCATATGAGCCGTTTTAGCTTAAACAGATATGTATAAACTACTCTCCATTCATTGAACTATTTATGCGTGCACATTCAATACCATGAGTCTTCCAATATATCACACCCTGTCATGTGGACCTGTTTACTTTCTGTGAGATGAAATATTTGAATGTGTCTTTTCTCAGCCTAATAAGAGTAGAAATCTTGTACCAGTCTCTATGCTGGAACGTTATGCAGGGAGTTAAAGTGGGGGTCACAGCGAGCAGTTGCCTCCTCGCTCTAGACAAGGGTGAAATATAGATATTATGCCCTTTAAGGTGCTTAAGACTCCCTCATGCCGAGAACGGAAGACTGCTGTTGTGAAATGTTCATCAGGCTAGTGAAACATTTATGTCCTTGATGAACTGAAGTTGTTTTTCTCTGAATATTTGTGTGTGAGAAAGTTCTTTATATGCAGGGGTGGGTTGGTTTCCCATGGGGGTGTGTCTGTTAGGATGTGTACCTGTGTGTGCTGGGCTTGGCCCAGTCAGAGCTTTTTCTCTACGTCTGCAGACATAAAAATAAATTTAAGCCTCCCTTGAAAGAATTGCCTGAAGTCTCAGTTTCCCTACAACTTCACATTTCTCAGGTTGAAATAAGCACACTGGGTAAAGTTGAAATAAGCACACAGAAACAGGTCAATAATAGGAGACTCTACGGCGCATTAAAAAGCAAGAGCGGGAAAGAAGGAGCATTGACTCATGGTTGAGCTATACTGGATAATCTGCATGCAATAAATATTCAAACATGGTAGAGTAGCTTAGCTGCCTGTGGTTTAAAGAATCTGCTTGTATCAGTATGTATTATGCATAAAGACTTTTGGCAGAGTTCAAAACATCAAACAAAGCCTCAGTTAAAGGTATGCTGTTGGTCAACATTGGCATTAAAAAGGTACATTTTAGATTTGATCTTTTAAGCAAAAATTCGGGCTGCAACTTTGCTAGAATTCAAAAAATTTCACACCAGTTAAAATTTAGCATCTGTAACTCTTTGTTTGCAATTGCCCAATTTACAGCAGGACAAGTTCTGTTTCCAACTGAGCATAAGCGAGTGTTGACAAGCAGCATTTGTAATCCCAGTGTATTAGTAAAGAAAATTTGAAGGGCAATGATATAGAAGAAATGTGAAATATGTGAGCACATAATCATTTCACACAAAGCCAGATAAGTACTTACCACAGGTCCTGGTGGACCTGGTGGGCCAGGAGGCCCTGGAACACCAACCCCCCCTCTAGGTCCAGGTGGACCCTGCAAGTTCCAAAGAAAAGCATGTAGAGAAACTCAAAACACATGTCAGAAATTTAATATAGTAATGGAACTCTTTGACGATGAAAAATATTCTATAGCCTTAATGCTTCAATAGGTCTAAAAATGTCTATTTTTTAAAATACCACTGTTAAGTTATTGATAACCTCTGCGAAGGTGTGGGTTATAAAACTGAGTTTACCTGCAATCCTCAAACTAAGGTGTTAAACTAAGGACTAAGGAAACTCTGGAGAACCCGTCCAAAGAGCTTAACATTTTACATTTTTTAATACTTTTTCGTTGAAATAAATTCTGGTCAGAAGTTAAGCTGCCAGGCTAAAAAAAAAAGAAAGAAAAAAAAAAGAAAAATGGTCAAGAATTGCACTTTGACCCAAAATGGCCGACTTCCTGTGGGTTTTAGGGCATACCTCCAACAGACTTTTTTTCATGATTCGAGGAGATCTACCTATGTGCCAAATTTCAAATCTCTGTGACTTACAGTTTCCCCCAACTCACGTTAGGGGGCGCTGTGGCGTAATTTGGGGGCGGCCATTTTGGATTCCATTAAAGACACGGGGGACAATTTACTGCCACATTTTTGTGAGTTTTTGAATATGCAAAGTCCCCGTAAAATGCTTTCAAAGTGCTACAAGAATAATAATAATAAGAAACTTTCGAAATACAATAGGCCTTCGCAGCGCTTTGTTGCTCGGGCCTAAAAAAAAAACAGTTTAAAACTATTTTAGATTTGGTTAAGAGATGAGAGCAGAAAATACTCCTTAATATATAATGAATTTTATTGAGAAATTACAGTTAAAATGTAAGCTTAGACTTTATTCCTAAAATTTTCTTTATTCTTTTTTTATATCTAGTCCAGTAAACTTTATGTGAATTGCCAAATCAAATTTCTTAGCTATTTGAGAAAAGGAGAAAACTCTGAGCTATTTGCCAAAAGATGTAACATGTTGTAGCACAGAGAGAGGGGCTCCATGCTAGCCTAGCAAGTAGCACTGTTTTCTTGAAGCTATAAGGTCCCAGGTTTGATCCAAATACATCATCCTGTTCCTAGCTCCTATCCCTTCACCTTTCACAGGGTCAACAGTAAGAACACTATCCAGGGTAGGAAAGGAGGTCCAGACTGCTGTGCTATATTCAGATACCATTCAGCTTTACAGACGTCATTACGAGCCGGACAGGCTCATAAATGAAGCTGGTCAGATTAGGCCTGCAGCCTTCAGGAAAAGAACTACCAGAATAAAAAAATCCAAAATAAAGTGAACAGCTGAATCTCTTTTATAAAACCTAAACATATAAAGTTGTGTTTATTAGTACCCAGGGGCGGAGTTACCATTAGGCAAAACTAGGTGGCTGCCAAGGACCCCAGGTCCCTGTGGGCCCCATAAAATTTATCATAGATATATGATAATTTGTGGTTTTGCTCAAAATCTTTTTGATATCCTCTTCTTTGAAAAGTGTCTCTGCAGTCTCCACTCAGAGTAGAGGAGAAAAAAGAAAAAAAGATGAAAAGAAGCTAGCATAGCGGTGGTGAAAGAAGAAGGTTGCAGAACAGTTGCATCTAAAGTTACCAAAAATAGCTAGCTTCCTCACTGAACCAGTGGCAAGCACTCAGCAGCAGAAACAACTGTTAGAGTTCAGATTTAAGAATAAGGTTTAAGTAAAGGAATGTCAGGAGGTCCCTGTCTCCTGGTCCTAGCTCCTTCCTAACTGCAAGCACTATTCAGATAGCGCTTATTATGGCGGCCATTACCTATGTGTCATTAGTGATTTGAGGAATTTGGATCAATCATTGGCCTGGGTTCTCTTTGTATGAAGCTTGCAGATTTACCAGGTGCTCCAACTTCCTCCCACTGCTAAAGCTAGTTGTTAAGCTGTTTGGTGTCTCTAAATTGTCCTGCAATGGTGGCCAATCAAGGATGTACCCTTCCTTTCACCCAAATACTGTCCAAAGAAAGGCTCTAAGCCCCCATGACTGGTTGGCAGAAGATAGATGAAAAGATGTACAGAAAAAGAGATTTGTTTTTATTTATATGTTAAATTTTACATCTATTATGTTTGAGAGCGTGTTTCGTTTACACCTTTCATTTTCTGGATGTGATTGGTCAGAGACCTGGAATATTTTGGGAGAATCTTTGATCATTAGAACTCGTTCGCCAGACATATTACACAGATGTTACTGCAAGTTTAAGAGTGGTTGTTTTCGCTTCTTCCAGATATGTCTATTTTTTTTTTAATGATTTTTTTTATTTAAGGTATGAAACATCTTTTGTTAAATTGTGAGATCAAATAACATTGCAGTGATTTCATGAAAACGATTAAAACTAAACAAAGTGCCATAATGGTGGTTGATACTTAGTTTATCCACAAAATGTGCTAATTGGATTCCAAATCTGACCTCAGGTCCGATGTTTCCTTCGTCCCCTGGCGTTCCTGGCTTCCCTGGAGGACCCTGTGAAGATGTTGGTTAAAGCCAACGTGCATCTAGTGTTAAACTAGGCTTAGTGAGAGGACTAAAATAGGAAAAACAATACATACAGCAGGTCCTTCACTTGCTGGACCCTGTAAAAAGAGAAAAAAATAGACAAGCAATTATAGTTAACATTTAAAATAGTAAATTCTGTAGACTTGTGGATATTGTCTACTTACAGGGGGGCCTGGGGGTCCAGGAAAGCCAGGCAGACCCTGTAAATAAAACCAGCAGAAATCAGTAACATCCCGCTTGGTTGCATTAGATACTGGAACCTTATTTAATTCAATTACTCACTCTTTCTCCCACAGGTCCTCTGGGACCCATAGGACCAATGGGACCCTGCAGAAGCCAAACATAGTCGATTCATTATTGCTGTTGCACTATCACACATTATACAAACCACATTCTGTGCAATTCATTCAGAGCTTTGGTTGGATGTGATCTGAGACCTAAAACAAACTACTTTACAGAGGATTTGCTTTTCTTTTCTTCAAAGTAATCCAGTCAGTTTTACAAAATGGGTGCCAGAAGTTGTGAATCTTACAGAAGATCCTGGAAGACCAGAGAGGCCTCTCTGTCCAGGAAGACCAATCTCCCCCTTCTCCCCTTTGCTGCCCTGGAAAACAGAAACAGCAACAATACAACAGCTTTATCTGCTTCTTGCATTCCCCAATAGTGTATGATACTCATAGGCAGAGTTAGGAAACAGTCAAAGATGGGCTGTGGGGGAAACATTAACAATCTTTTTTTTTGTTGTGTTTTTAAAACCATTTGGGTTTAAATGAAGGCGAAAAACTAATTCCTTGGGACAGTGGAACCTCACGTCAAAAGACACAACTTAAAAAGAAAAGTTAATGTGACATGAAAGCTGCCTCATGAGATCAGGGTTGGAGTTAATGTAGAAGGCAGACATTTCTCCTCATATTGAACCATAAAGTCCTTTTTTATAGTACTTTGTGAAAATATTTACCACATATCCTTTAAACATCTTCAGAAAGACGTGCACAACAAAAAGCATAGGGTGAATACGCCTTTTGCCCTCCAGCCCCCAGAAAAATCCCCTCCAAAACCAGCTACTGTGATGACCCCCCTCTTTATCCTGGGCATGCATATTTTTTTACTCTGACTCCACCCTTTTACTGAATTACAGGGTCTGACCACAAGAAGGCACTTCTCAAATCTTTCCACAAATGATGACGGAAAGAATATTTTAGTACAAAGATTGATGTTTTAAAAGGAATTGTAGGGAACCAGGCAATGGCCCATCAAGGAAAGCAGGGAAATTTTGAAAGGCTACTGCTGTATTTATGCTTTTAGAAGTGATCCAATTAGTACTGAGTCCATCTGTTTGTAAATAAATAAATTTAAAATGGAAACTATATTGATCTTTGTCTTATTAAGAATGCTCTATGAATAATCAAAGTAATTCACCTCTGAGAATATATAAGATAAGTAAGAGACAAACAGCTAACAACAGCTCCACACAACCCCTACTTGAAAAATCTGAATTTTCCCTCTTTCCTGAGTCTGTCCGTACTTGTCTAATAGTAGACTTGAGATCTCTCATTACTGGTGTTGTTTACAAAGCAGAGGTTACTGGAGTTAACATTGTCAGTCTTTACCAGTAAATGCATTTTTTTCACGTTTCCAACCTGAAAAGGGAGAGGTCTCTGCTAAATAATGTCACTTCTGGATTCAGGACTGTTGTTTGAATTGAGATAACAAACCTTTTGTCAGAGATATCATCAATAGATTTCCAATTAGAATATAGTTCAATTGAACTATTGTATATCTGGTTAAAGTCCCAAGGCAGAACCTTACAGAAAAAGAACCTTTAGAAGGTTGAGAAGAATTGAAGTGTGGATGTGATTGAAGATATACAACAACACACAAATGCAAGATTTTTTGCACTTAAAAAAAACAACTATTTCTTGATTTCTTTATATAAGGCATGTACTAGCTGCAACACCAAACTACCCGACCATTAGGAACCATACTTAACTGCAGTTTAGAGTCAGCAGTGTTATTCTGATTGTTAAAAACTTGCAAAAGTCCTTTAACCCCTTTTGTTGTACAAAGTCTCAAAGCTTTGTCAAAGAGCATAAGTTCCTTTTTGTGTCTCTGCTTCTGTTCCTTGAACCCCAGTCAGCCTCAGCAGATGGCCGCTCACACTGAGCCTGGTTCTGCTGGAGGTTTCTTCCTGTTAAAAGGGGCTTTTTCCTCTCCACTGTCGCTACAGGCATGCTTAGTGTGAGGGATTGCAGTCGAGACCATTAGTCGATCCAATCAACTGGTTTTCCTTAGATAGAAAACTTTGAATCAGTTTGACTGGATGATCTGGTTGAACTGTAAATTGCCTTGAGATGTCATGTGTTGTGAATTGGCGCTATAGAAATAATTGAAACTGAATTAAACAAACGGTATAATGAAAATCAAAGAACACAGCTGACAGGACAGGAATTCATTTCTAAATAAGAATAAAACTCACTTTAAAAAATTTCACATAGCTAGAGAACCAACATTTCTAGCTGCAACTAGGAAGAAAACGGTAATGTCTTAAGTTTGCCAATCAGAGGCAGTTTACTATCTAAGGTTGGCTCCACCCTCAAAGTGGCTAAAATTGAATATGAATGCACAGAAACAGGTCCACACACGAGTAGGAGAAGATCTACAGAGAGCAGAGAAGGGGCATGAACTCATGCATGTGCTTTACTGGGTGGGGCGTTATGGTATAGAATCTGCATGAGTGGAAACTTAAAATTCATATGGAGAGTGATTTACGTGTGTGTTTTAAATAAAACTTATTTTTGGAAGAACTCTGACTTCATACAAAAAAGCCTTGTTTCCTCATGTCTTCTATCTTTGCATTTAAATATAGAGAAGCTGGTTGTCTGCCTGAGTGAAGATGCCTGCCACCCAACTTATTCATTTAAAAATAAATGTTGTCAAACATTGGTGGTATGTTTGTGAAGGACAAATTTTGGATTGTGACACTAATATTTAAAGAAGGCAATGAAACCTTCTAGAGGTCTCCATAGGTCAACCCCACCATTCATCTTCAAATACAGAAAAGGTGTCAATGAATTCCGCTACCTTTGTTTTGTTTGAGATGCTTTTATTTTAAAGTTATCGAACAAAGGTCAAAAGGTCAACCAGTCCTACCAACATTAAAGGAATAGTACACCCAAAACATGATTAGCCTTCATTTTCTACTCACCCCCATACTGAACAACACCCTGGAGTACTTTTTTGATATCTCAAATGCATCTGGAGATCTGGGAGGCTTCTTGCTGTCT